CATTCTACCTGAGGAGCCAGGGAGATGGCACCAACTTTTGTTCCAAAGGGAGATGCTGGGTTAGGTGACTACAGCCCAGCTCTGTTAGGACAAACGGAAGGAGGGACAAGGCCTGATAGTTCAGCAGTGAGGCATACCTGCTGCAGATTTTTAATGACACACCCTGACTCACTTCCTTGCTTCCTGTTAGAATATGGCTCTTGGGGAAGATGGATACAATTTCCAAAAACCATTGTTCCACAGAAAATAACGTTAATGGCTCAGTCAATAAAGCGCTTGTTGTATAAGCACGAAGACCTCAGTTTGGATCCCTAGAACTCATGTGAAAACTCTGGGTGTGGTAGTGCACACTTGAAATCCAGGGCTGGGGAAGCAAAGACAGGCAGATCCCTGGGACTCTGACCAGCCAGCCTAGCCAAATGGGGAAGCTCCAGGTTCAATGAGACCCTATCTCAAAAAACAAGATAGACAGCGACTGAGGAAGACCCGAGGTTGACCTCTGGCCGACATACACACACCCTCACACGTATACATGTGTACCCAAAAAAGAAAATGAGGCTTTCTTCCTTAGAAAGTAGATGACAAAAGAATAAAGTTTAAACATTTATAGTAATGGTATTTCTGTCTAGTTGCAGATTAGGTTTCCCAGGGGATAGAAAAATGACAGACACATACAGACAGTTCTTGCTGTAGTGACTTGTAGTTGAGAATTTAGAATCATCACTTGCTCCTTCTCTCATTCGATTTTCTACCATCATGGGTCTCATGGGTCTGTAAAGAACCTGGTTATCTTATCTTCAAAGTTTCCAGAGAATGAGACAGATATTACTTTCCTTTTAGTGAGAGATGGTTTGTTGTTGAGGGCTGAAATTACAGACATCTGTGTTAGAACTTAGTGTTCAACCTTTTTTTTGAGACAGTGTCTTACTCTAGCCCAGGCTGGCCTGGAACTCACTATGTAGCCCAGGCTGACCTTGAACTCACCTCAATCCTCCTGCCTTAGCCACCCAAGTGCTGGGATTACAAGCATGTGCCACCACACCCATGGTGTTCTTATGTCTAAAGTAGAGAGGTAGGCTGCCTGCCTCCTATCACCATCATCCCCAACAAAGACCAGTCATGCTCAGTCCCCTGATGGTTCAGGCATGGCTGATTGATCTCTTAGGCCTCATTTTACTTCCCTGGCAGTAACAGCAGTCTGGGTCTTGGTTCTCTACCCAAGACAGCACCCCAAACATTGAGATGGAACCTCTAAGCGACCTCATTACAGCTTCAACCATCAGCCCACTCTCAAGCTCTGGTAACTCTGAGTCACTTGGTGAAGCAATTTTTGCTAATGACCCAATTACTTCCCTGGGCAGGAAGAGCAGGCATCCCACCACTTCCACACTAACCATGACTCTCTTTACTATAAACAGATGCAAGGAGCAGATGTCTCAGAAACCCAACCCTTGAGGAACCAATCACATGGCAGGCAAGAAACTCTGCCATCTTACACCCACATATTTTATTCACCTGCGTCTCTGAAATTGGCATCTAGACTTTGGCATGTGCATTCTACAGATAGCTCAAGGTTGGTCCCACTTTTGCTCAAATGAGAGGCCCACTGTGCTTTGCCGAGCTGGAATAAACTCAGCATTATGATGCTCCCGGTGTTAAAATGCAGAAAGTGGGTGATCTCTTTCCTTGGGGGCCTTAAGAGAATAGGCTGCAGCTTGCCCTATGGTTCCAGCCCCAGGATTCCAGCCCTGCACTCACTGCAGAAGCTGGAGCTGCCCATGGGCCCACTGAAGTTGATGATAAACAGCAACTGAAGCCCTGGGTGACAGAGGTGATTTGGGTCCAGGTAGATACAACAAAAAGCACCCCCAAAACAAAACCCACACAGAACAGAAAAGAGAGATAGCCTCAAAAGCAAAGGACTTTGAAGATTTTTTTTTTAAATTGTGAACAAAAATGGGCCAGTGAGATGGCTCAGCAGGTAAAGGTGCTTGCTGTACAAGCCTGACGACCTGAGTTCAGTCCCCAGAATCCAAGGTGGAAGGAAAGAACCAACTCCCCAAAATTGTCCTCTGACCTCCACACATGCACCATGGCATGTGTGTATATGTGAACACACACACACACACACACACACACACACACACACACACAGAGAGAGAGAGAGAGAGAGAGATAATACTTCTACTACTAATAATCATAATAATAATAAATAAAATAAAAAGAAGACAATTATGAAGATGCATGTGGCACTGTATTTCAAATCCATGGAAAAACAGACCAATTTCCTAAGAGGATGTAAAATATAAAAATGGACAAAAGAAACGCAGAACTTGGATTGGGCTGGAGAGATGGCTCAGCAAAGAGCACATACGACTCTTACAGAGGACTTGAGTTTGGTTCCCAGCATTCACTTAGGCAGTTAACAACTGCCTGTGACTCCAGGTCCAGGGGATCCAATGCCTTCTTCTGGACTCTGCACTCACATGCACACACACACATGAATAAAAATAAATGTAGAAAAAGATATGGAAAACTTGAATAGGTAATAAAAGTTACAGATATTGATCAGTAATAAAATGTCTCCAAGTGCCTCAGGACAGGAGTGGGCAGATATTGGGCACACAGAAACAGTCCCAGAGAATTGGAAATGAGCCTTGTGGAGAAATATGAATCCAGACCACCTCATACCTACTAGTTTCGCCAAAATGGGAAGCAGGGTGGTGACCACAGCCAGAATTGTTAAACATTGTCCCTGTTGTTCACATCAGACTCTGCCCTCCCTCTTGCATAGGGTGCAGTTCAGAAAACCATCCTCTCCTCTCTTTTTGTCACTTTGGATCAACATAGAACGCAGACAGGGAGGGCATGCACGGAAAATGTCCTGCTTGATGAAGTTTCACAAAACAAACACTCTGGTAGGACCACCTGCCTCAAGGGTGTGTCTGCATGCTAGGAGCCCCGGTGCCCTCCTCATTAGGATCCCTTCTCCCAAAGGTCTCTTCTATTTTGACTTCTGACTCCATAAATTTGTTTTGCATGGCACGTGTGGTGTATGCACATATATACGTTTGTGTGTGTGTGTGCTCGCGCGCGCACGCGTGCACACCTGTGCCTGCACATGCACATGAAAAGATCAGAGGGGGACATCAGGCATCTTCCTCTATTTGTCTCACTTAGTTTTTGAGATAGGGCCTCTCACTGAACCTGGAGCTTGCCCGCTTGCCACTTCAGCTAGACTGACTGCTCAGCGAAACCTAGGAAGCCTCCAGCTTCCGCCTCCCAGCACTGGGGTACGGCACGTGCTGCCGTGCCCAGCTTTCACACGGGTGCTGGGGATCTGAACGCAGGTCTTCATGCCTGAGCAGCAGGCACTTCACCCACTGAGCCGTCTCCCTACTTCTTTGTTTTGCATTAAAACCTGCTATAAACGGATTCAGAGAGTTTCCCTTGTATCTTCGTTTTAACTCTATGGACTATGGTTACCACAGAGTTAAGGACGAGTTCTTGACTTCTCAGTCCAATCTAAAATGACCACATCTGCTTTCCTGGAGAATGTCAGGCTCCTAAGGATATTTTAATCCCTCCCCATTACTTTGTGCTAGTGGTCAGGCATTTTAATCTTGTACATGTTTTAGCTCAGAAAAGAAATCATTTCTATTATCATTGCTTTGAATTTTGACAGAAAACTGGATATAAAGAAAATTAAATTGAAGGGTTCATTGTGTTTCTAGAACACAATGGGAGGACTGAGCCACAGACCAGGCACAGTGGATTATTGAATGGAGCATAGTTCTGTAGAAAATATGGAGCATGGAGTGGAAGAGAAAGGAGAAAATGCACATTTTCATTTAAAAATCTCAATTTTAGCTGTCTTTTAAAATTTTTTAAAACTATTTTATTCATTGTCTGTCTCTGTGTATACATGTGGAGATCAGAGGGAAACTTGCAAAAGTCAGCTTTCTCCCTCCTCCATATGCGTCCCATGGATGGAATTCATATTGCCAGACTTGGTGGCAAGCACCTCTACCCACTAAGCCATCTCTTTAGCCCAGATTTTTTGACTTTCTGTGAAAAGACAACACCCAGTGCACATTCCTTGAAGCTTCAGTCAGCCTGTATGGGTGAGATGCACCCTCGGCAGTGTTCTGTCCTTCCTTCAGGCAGTCCCTCCCTCCTGCTGTCCTCTGAAGCTGGGTCTGGATAGCAGTTTTGTTAGCTCATGTCACCGTGTTCCACCTGTTCATGTGTGTGCTGGGTGCACTTGGAATCTGAGCTCACACTGCTGGGTGCCAGCATTGGGGTGGAAATGGAGATGGACACAAGTCGGGCCATCATAGAGCAAAAGGTCATGTAAATAGTCAACAGTGACTAATAGGCTCATGGAAAGTGGAGAGTGCTCATGATCCGTCACAGGTGACTAGCTGTGGGTAGGGAATGGCCCGCCCCAAGGACAGGCTACCTATGTAGAGCCTGAAGATATCCCCATTTTTCATGGCGGGGGAGATTTCATGTGTGCTGGTGAGGATGGTATGGTGGCACTGGGTCCCTGTTTGCCTCTGTATAGGATATATGTGTGTCAGTGGGAGTGAAGGGTGACAGGGGTGACAGTGTGTTCTGGTAGAATGGTGTGTTGGCATTCTAAGTAGTAGAGGGTCACCTATGGAGGCTTGTGATTGGGCAGAGCTAGGCGGATCTGCAGAGTAAAGAGAGCCTGAGGGACGCAGGGCAGTATGTGTGGGTACTGGGCAGTTACACTTGGAGAAACAGATGGAACTCTAGGTGGCCTTGCTTACCGGATACCTAGGAAGAACCCACACCAATGTCACTGTGACTAAAGACACACAGGTTTGGTCCCTTTGTGTTCCCTGGTTGATAAGCTCTGTCACTGTGAAAAGAAGTTGCCCAGTGTGACATGCCCAGCTGATACTGACAAACTGTTGAAAGGTAGTAGGAGCCATTGCTGGACTAATTTTCATGCCTGGTACCCTTTGTCTTAGCTGCAGGTGCCCACTGCTTGGGAGAGTATGGGAAACTGACTTGGAGGCTTGCCAGCTGCTGATGCAGAGCCTGGAGCTTCAGGAAGCAGAGGGCAGCCTGCATGTAGAAGACGAGAGGCAGACAGGTGACCCAGGGGAGGCCACCTGGACAGCCACCCTGGCTGACCATCCTGGATCCCATGCTGAAGAGGAAAAGAAGACACCCTTGCAGGCAGTTCATGAGTGGAGTGCTCACCTGGTCCCCTCACCACACTGCACTGGAGGTGAACAGAAAGAGGTCAGTCCTGTGTATGACTGTCAGGAGTCATCTGTGGAGAGCTTGGGGGCCAAGTGGAAGCAATCAGTACTGGGAAGATTTTCCATCAATCCCCACCAAGTTCTTAGGGTTTATAGGACTCTCAAATATGATTACAAATTAGTATGTCATTTTTTTTTGAGACACGGTCTCCCTGTAGCCCTAGCTGGCCTGGAACTAGCTATATAGACCAGGCTGGCCTCAATCTCACAGAGATCCACCTGCTTCTGCCTCCTTCATGCTAGGATTAAACTTTGTATAAATTTTAAAAGTTGAAAATGGAAAAGAACAAAGAGAAAAAACCTTTAGCATATTAGTTTTATTTTTATTCTAGTTTAATGGCCCCATTATTCTAGAATAAACAAGTTAGTACAGAATTATCTATAATATACATAATGCCATATACACCACAAGTTGCTGTGTAAACCATATGTTATACATCATATATAATATTTGGTTATATCTTTAAAATCTACATATTATATTATTTATTAGGACTGAACATTCAGATGCTATTGTTTTTACCCAAACCAGATGACATTGAATGTTTATAATGTCTTATTTTCATAAAACAAAGCAAAACAAAACAAAAAGTACAAAACTCAACTGTTTTGCCTGAGATACATGCATTTCAAACTAAAATGTGATTTTACCTAATTCTTTCAGCTGGAGGCTGACCCTGACAGTACACAACCCTCTTCTTCTCCCTCTCCCTCCTTCCTCCTCATCCCTCCCCCTTCCACCTCTAACAGACCCCTTCCTGTCAAGGGGCCCAGGGATGTGCCCCTGCTTGTGCCTGAGCCTGAGGCTTCCCAGCTCCCTGCCTGGTGGCTTCTGTATGTTCTGTGTGGAAAGAGATTGGCTGTAGCTGCTGCCTGGCTTATGGCCATCTCACCTTGGCTTTCAAAGCCAGATGTACCCCTTGACCTTTGCCAAGACTCTTGGTTGGGTGAAAGGTGGGTGGGGAGAACACTCTAGGCATTCTTCTGGGCCTCCCACCAGAGAGAACAGAATAGGACCCTGGGCCCTTTATAGGGCTTAATGTCTGGTCACTGCCTCCTGGGTTGCTGGAGAAGTGGTCCTGGCCCTGTATTTGAATGCAGATCTTTATGAGAAAGTAGGATTGTGTCCTGGTGACATTCTGGGTCCTGCTGGCCTCTGCTCAGGAGGTTTTCAGGTTAGAACTTCTGCTGCTCAGTGCTGTATCTTGGATAGCAACAGAGTTCTCCAAACACTGAAATGATCCTCTAGGAGCTGAAGTTGCAGTTGGAACAGTGCATGGGCCACAGTAAAACACTTGCTTACTGGAGGAGGCTGAGGTCAGCAAAGTCTCTTAAAGGTGAGGTGACACAGGTTTGACACAGTAATCCTTGGCTGCAGGTTCAGTACAAGGGTAGCACATGTCCAAGGCTGGACATAGTTGCTGCGCAGATATCTTTGCTGAAGTGCTTTTTTTTTGAGGCCATGGCAGAGCCTTTTGCCACAGTCCAGTCACTAGACACCTGGGTGGGGGAATGTGTGTTTTTGTTAGAACTTGGTGTGAACAGCTTTGCTTTAATGTGGACAGTGGCTACAGTCCCAGGTTTGTCCTCCAGTGCTCTGTGTGAAAACTTGCTATCTGCTGCAGGTGGATGGCTTGAAAGGGAAGCCTGGTGTGGAGGAAGCACACTCTCAACATGGGGATGGAGCCTGGGTCCGCAGAACCTCAGGCCCTATGCCTTAAGGCTGGCTCTTAAGGTGGGCTCTGTGTAAATCAGGTTTCCAGGACTGTAACAAAGACCTTGAGAGAACAACTTTGAACAGAAAAGATCTGTTTGGGTTCATGATTTCATGGGTTTCCATTCATGACAGCTGGCCCCATTGCTTTGGGCCTGTGGTGAGGAGCATGTGGTAGAACAAAGTCTCTTACCTCATAGCCAAGAAGTGAAAGAAAGAGGGTCTGGGTCTCTGTCACCTCCGCAGACACTCTGAAAGATCTAAAGCCCGCCCCATAGGCTCCCTTCTTAAGGTCTCTACCGCCTAGCAATGGCTCCACTCCCAAACTAAGCCTTTAACGCACAGGTCTGTGGGGCACTTAGGTCTAACCTGCAGCAGTGCCAGGTGCTGCACAGGAAAGGCATCCCATGTGTGGGATGGGATCCTGGTCAGGGACCATGTTGCAGGCCAGGATGCGGCAGAGCTGGTGTATACCAGGTCCCATCTCTACTTTTCCCTCATATGGGTGATAGGAACTAAACTCTGGTCCTCTGCAAGAGCAGCAAGTGTCTTAACCACTGAGCCATCTGTCCAGCTCCTCTACCTTGCTTTTTGAGTCCTGAGGCTTGGCAAGTCTACTAGACTGGCTGGCCAGTGAGCCCCAGGTAGTCTCGCATGTCTGCCTCCCAACACTGAAATTACAGGCATGTGCCACTATGCCAGGCTTTTTAACCGGAGTGCCTTTTGCTCAGCACAGAACTCGGGTCCTCATGCTTGCCTGGCAAACACCTTAGCAACTAAGCTATTTCCACAGCCCCCCCATACTTTTATTACAGCATTTTGTTATAATTATTTCATTTTATAATTAGTTGTCACTGTTAATCACTGACCGTGTCTAATTTTAAGTTAAGGTTTGTCATGGATAGATATGCATAGGAAAAATCGTTCCAGTTAGAGTTTGGTGCTGTCTGTGGTCTCAGGAGTCCACTGGGGGCTCCTGGGACACTGTCCCCCATGGAGAAGCAATGACTGTATTTAAATTACAGAGAAACAGATGTCCTCTGAATTCATGAGTGTCAAGGATTTTTAAATGATTGATATGTTCTGGGAAGGGCAGTGATGGGACCAGAAAGCAGATCTTGTTACCTGGAAGCCAGGAGGACTCATTGAGGAAAACAGCAGGAAAGAATCTGGGAGGGCGCTGGATGTTCTGCATCATGTGGTGCAGTTACATGACAGTGTGCTTATATCTGACCGTAACTTTACAGTGAAAGAGTGGATTTTATTGCTTGTAACTTTCAGCATTGACTAAAAGTTCAAGACAGTGTCTGTCTGCTTAACATCAGGGCTGCATATGAAACAGGTACACTTGGCTCAAGACCTAGAGCACAGCACAGCGTGCGGAGATGAGGCCTGAGCTGCGAGTCTTTCGCTGCTTACAAGCTGCATTTCATCTGCTAAAGCAACCACAGCCACCCGGCTGGGGAGATAGCTCAGTGGGTAAAAGTGCTTGCTGTGTATGCATAAGGATGTGAGTTCAATCGCCAGTATCCCTGTAAATTGCTAGGCACGAGAGTGCACCCTTGTAATCCTAGCACTGGGGAGGTAGAGACAGGAGGATCCCTGTGTGTCACTGGCCAGCAAGTCTAGTCCAATCAGTGAGCTCCAGACCAGTGAGAGACTGTCTTAAAAAACACAGTGGCCAGCTCTTGAGGAATGACACCTGAAGTCAATATCTGGCCTCTACATGTGTATGTACCCCCCCACACTCATACATGTACCCATGCACACATGTGCACCCCCATACCCAACATGTATAAACACTCATCCTCTCTCTCTCTCTCTCTCTCTCTCTCTCTCTCTCTCACACACACACACACACACACACAAATAAGAAGAGGCTAATCAGAACTAGATTTTCTAATTTCATTAACTACTTTTGTCACCATGGTCAAATGCCTAACAGTTTAATCAAGAGTGCCTTTGGCTCACTTTTTCATGGGCTTCAGTCTGTCATGGTGAGAGGGCGTGGTGGAGCAGAGCAGTTCCTGTCACCACACTGGCCATCACACTGGTCTTGTTAGTAGTTGCAGTCTGTGCATGTGACAAAGCTAGCTAGTATCCATTTCTATGCCTCAGTCTTTTTTGGAAGCCACTTTTTGACAATATACTCTGCTCCCTTTCTTGGGAAGCAAACAAAAGCAAGAGTGAGTGAGCAGGCGACAGGCTTAATGAAGGGGAGCCTGCATTTGGGCAGAAGGTTTTAGAGGGCTGAGGCCCAGAGCCGACAGCCAAGGGTCTCCTGGTGAAGGTGGTTTAGTCTTGCTGAATTGCTTTTCATGGTGCTATTGAAGTCTAGGGAATGATAAGTTTATCTTGAAGCAAAATGTTTCTTAGCTTTGCAGCTCCAGGTGGGTTTACCATTGCAGGGCCCTGCTGGGCTTTGGCCACCCCACACTGGTTTTCCTATTGAAGCGTGGTACCCTGGGGGCAAGCAATTGCTTTTCAACCCAAATCTTCCATAACAAATCTCAGACTTCTTACAGAGGTCCACAGGGAGATGGGATTCAAAGCCTGTCCTGTGCTTATCTGACCAATACAGGGATATGCATTCTGGTGGCACCATTGTTCCCTGAGTGCTCTGTCCTCTGGAATACCCACTGAGTACTGAAGGTCCCCTCCAGGCTGCTCAACACTGTGGAGTCCTTTGCTTGGAGCTTTGTTCCAGAGGAATCCCAACTCAGCTAAGGGCCAATGGCAGCTCGCACTTCCCCAGATTGCAAGAGCTGTTTTCTCTTCCAGCGTCATTAGAGCTCAGTTCCAAGCCTTTCAGCTGCTGTTGGCCCTGGTTTATAGATGACACAGAAATTGTACAGAGGCCAGACAGAAGCTGGGGAAATCAGCACACCAGGCTCCCACGCTGCAAAGGTGCTGCCTGCTCTGGCCTGCATGCCTTTGGGGTCTTTCTTTCCTGTCTGCAACCTGTCCCACTGGCTGCTTTCTGTATCTGTTACTTAATGAGCTTCCCTCATGCCAAGCTCCCTGGACAGCATCACTCCCTCTGACTTCCCATCCCAGCTGCTTCCTTTCCAAGCTAGTAGCTGCTACCAAGAAGGCTAAAATAAGCCAGAGAGAAGCTGGCACTGTGGAGGGATCACATGCGATATTCCAAGCATCCAGAAGATCTGTAAGGAAGCGAATCAGCAAGAAAGACAGAAGCAGACACTGTAGTGTTAGCCATTCAGATTTAGATCCTCAGAACCTTCCCTTACAAATCATCAGAATCA